GACAAACTAGGATATTGCAAGAAGCTTGATGTTGGCTATTTCTGGACTTGACTTTCAGAACTTCCGGTCCCATATTTGGCCTTGTTGGGAAGTTCCCTGAGCCTAAGACTGAGTTGAGAACAACCTGGGGGTTCCACTGTGAGCAGAAATGAGACGTTGCTTGAATGATAACCGGCATATCTGGAGTGGGGACCCTGTGCCGGGCACCGTGCCAACTGCTTTCTGTGCATCAGCTCATTTAATCTTCTCAACAAGCCTGTGAGTCAGGACCCTCGGATTCCCATTTTTCAAGGAGGAAATTGAGATTCTGATAGTCTTAGGACCTGGCCCAAAGCAGCACGGTGACTTGACGTGGCTTTTTTTAAATAAGTTCCAAGTCAGCATGAACGTGCCATAAATGCATCTCTGAAATATGGGAGCCGTAGTTTTAGTTTCTTTCCCAAAATCAACCAAGATGTTCTGTGGAAAGAAATAGTCATAGCCCAAGTTGGTGGAATTCATTTTTTTTTTTAATCATCTTTTTCTTGACTGAGAAACGTCTCCATGTCTCCGCACAGAAGCTTACCTGTGGGCAGTGGAGCTTTCCAGCAAATTAGGGGCCCGATTTCATTTTTATAAGAGAAATAAATAGAAAACTGACTGTTTACCATCTAGAAGAGCAAAGTATTACTAAATGGAATTTAAGGTACCACCTCACAAATTTTGTAGTCTCTAAAAGCAGGCATATTTTTCTGAGCAAATTTTAGACTCTTAAAAGTTTAGACTTAGCAGTTTAATCAAATAGGAATTTGTCGGCTGAGAAATGTTCTTTCATTCGGTAAGTCTGAGGTCTGTTCTGAGCACCTCGGCTGTCGGCTTGCCATTCTCACTCCTTTGTGCTTTCTGGGCATATTTACTGTCCAGATTCTCGGGGAGGAAGAGAGCTGCTGCCTCAGGTGGTGAGTTAGATGAATACCCAGATCTGGGGTGAGGGGGGTGCTGCCTGAGGGGAATGGCCCCCCACCTCCCGCCGTGCGGCTGAGCGACAGGATTTTCCCCACCACTTTCTGGGTGAGCTCTTAAAACTGCAGTCTTTCTAACAGAAAGACTGCTGCTGAACGAAGCAGGCTGGACCTCTGAGAACTCAAAGGGACTGTCAGAAGGCCCCTCACGCCTCCGCCTGTCATGTCCGACCCCTCTGAGCTCAGTGCCTCTTGCCACAGTGGGTGACTGGGCCACCTGGGTCCTCCACTCAGTGGTGAACAGCTGAGGAAGGCAGTGGACATCGACCTGACCTGCCAGGACCTATCATGGCAGTGTAGAGGGCCGTGAAATCTGGCCTATGCTAGCATGTCCTGGCCCCAGCCACCCCTGACTCAAGTCACTCCCTCTGAGAAGCAATCCGTGTGGATTTGGTGGTCAGATGGAGAGGTCTCAGTTGCTTCCTCGGCTTTTTTTGGTCCCATGGTAGGTGGAGAGGGCTCTGGCCTGCCTTCATCAGGCCCTCCTCACAGCCTGTCACCCCAGGGCCCCACCAGCGCATTGAGTGTCCCCGAGGGGTTCTGCATAGGGTTCAGGCAGTAGAGCGTGCTTACTGGGTTGAGTACTTTAAAAAGAAATCGCAGACTCAGGCAGTTAGAAATAGTTGAGTGTTTTCAGTGTTTTATTAGCAAATGAATTAGCAAAAGAACAAGTCCTCTGGTTCGACCACCAGCTCCCCCACCTGGCATCCACCACATGCCCGCCATGGTGGCAGGTGTCTACCATGCTCCGCTACCCAGGTTCCAGCGGTTCCCTGAGTCCTGGCTCCAGCTCAGTCACTCTCACAACTACTCACGGGCAGGAGGAGACTCCCCTTCCTCAAGAGGGCGAGAGAGAGAAGCTTCTGTGGCTGCCAGGGCCACAGAGGTAAGGCACGCCTGGTTCCTTTTGGAGAGCGGGCAGTGATCCTTCTTCCTGGAGCACAGCGGCCTTGCCCACAGTATTCGCTCACGGGAGGACGTCAGCCTATCCAGGAGAAATCCTCGGGCAGAACCTCGGCATCTGAAGGCATCGTCATCCTTTCTCTTAGACCGGCTAAGAGGGCACCCGGTGATCTTTGTCGGCAGACGGCGAGACCCCACGACTGAAACAAGCCTGCGACGAGTCCTTCCCTTGGCACCAACTTTCTGCAGAACCTTGGATGAGTCAAATCCGCACACTGTAGGCACCTCGGTAGCTGCATCTGGGAAGCGGGGATGACATCAGCACGTGGAGCAGAACCGAGGAAGAAGAGAACATTTCAGGGAAAAACACCTGTTCGTCGAGCACCTTTCTCTCTCCAAGGCACTCGGCACCGTGTGTCCCAACTCTTTGACGAAGATGGCAGTGACCAACGCACTCCTGGTCCTCAGGGCAGGTGTTTTTATGAACTCAAAGTCTCATTCCTCTAGTTTCAGGTTAAAAGAATCATGGATACGCATTAATGCCTCCTCTTAGTACGTTTACGGTAACGAAAATGGCTCACAGAGCACACTCTTCCCCTGCAAACAGAGCAGCTATGCGGAGAGCCTGCCAGGCAGAGCGTCCGCGTGGGGGCTGATCCGCATCACGAAGGCAGTGGACTCCTGGCGGTCCCCTCTCAGCAGAGTCCTTTCAGACATCTCAGACGAGGGGACCGCACAGAGGGGCGTCTGCTGCTCAAGAGCCTCGCAGGGCCCGGACGCGTGAACAGGAAAGCATCCTCTCAGAAACAGATGATCCGCTTCTCATCCTCAAAGACTTTGGCCTCCTCCGGCTTTATCAAGTTCCCGTTTAGGCTGTCGGAGGAAAACAAAGGACGCAAGTTAAAACGTTGGGAACTGTTGTGGCTCCTTCCCGTATGTGTTCCTAAGGCGCCCTATTCAAACGCTTGCTCGATATTAACATGCATGCCTTTCAGCTACCATCACTCTGGGAACCGGGTCTCACTAAGGTCACCAGTAGCCTCTATAAACCAGAATTTAATGCCGTTTTTCAGGCTTGCCTTTCGTGACCTTCACAGGCATTTGGCCGACCTGCCTTTTCCCTCCTTCCTGAAACACGACCTCCCCTTGGCTTGATGTGACGCCCCCCGTTTCTTCTCCTGGGTCTGGCCGCTCGCTCCATCTCAGTCTCCTTCCCCACATGCTCTTCCATGTGACCTCTAGATTGCGGATTTCCCCCAGGCTTGGGTCGTGGGCCCTTCTTCCCAGGCAACCTCATCTAGGCCACAGCCTGGTCCAGACGCCAGTGACCTGCAGCCCAGACGGCTCCGCTGTGGAGCCACTTACCTACTCAGCGTCTTCACCAGATGTCTCCCAGGCACCTCCAAGGGGCCACATCTCGCCGGGGGTCCCTAGCTCGGTGACTAGTATCACTTTCTATCCAGTTGTGCAAGTTAGTAACCTGGGGGGTTAACCCCGATCCCTTCCTCCGCCTCCTCACGTTCTGTCACCAAGTTCTGTTTTCTTCCTTAAACACCCCTAGAAGGCCTCCCTGGGGCCTCTCCTTATCTGCACCACCGCCATCCTGGTCTGAGCACCCATCATCTCTTCTCTGGATCACTGCAACATCCTCCCGACTGGTCCCCTTACATGTACTTGGCCCCTTCAAAGCCATTTTCCTAGAGGAGCCAGAGTGGTCTTTTAACAATGCAAATCTCATCGCATCCTTCTTTGCTTCAGACCCTTCGATGACTTTCCATTGCTTTTAAGATAAAAACCAAAATATGTAACGTGACCCACAGGCCTTTCATAGTCGAGTCTCCCCATCTCCTCTGCCTCCTGTTGCCCCCTCTTGCACACAGTCTGAGTCCCAGGGCACGTCAGCTTCTCGATGCCATGCTTCTTCCTGCCTCAGAGCTTTTGCCCACGCTGGTCCCCCTACCTGGAACACTTTCCCTCCCCCGTCACCTGACTAACTCCAAGTCGCCCTTTATGGCTTAGGTTAAATGCCACTTCCTTAGGGAGACCTTCCCTGAAACCTCACCTGTATTAGGTTCCTTTCTTAGCTTTCCTCGTTAAAGCACTTCTCAGGATTGCAATTAAATAATTACTTGAATGATGCTCTTACTGTGCATCATCCTCACTGGACGGTAAACCCAGGAAGGCAAGTCCATTTTGTTCACTGCTGGATTCTCGGTGCCAACACAGTCCCTGGGGACATAGCAGTCACCGTGACCCAGGCCTTACCCTCTAGGAGCTCACAGTCGAGAGGGGACAGCTCCACAGAGAGCTATTATAATGGAGTGTGAAAAATGCTAACAACAGAACTAGCAAGAAACGGACTAGTCGTAGCGAAGGGCCGACAGGTGCGAGGGCAGCTGAACTACAATGCTGTTCCCAGATGCCACAGTGTCCTCCACTGGTCTTATTGGAGCCGTGCTCTCTTCTCTGGAACAGGCTGTGACCCCACATAAGAATTACCTGTTACATCGTGAACCAGCATCTGTGCGCACGCACTCACGCGGGAGACAAGGCTATGAAATACGCTATGCACCGTGTGTGCTGAGATTCTGCTCAGTTTCGTTTTCTAAATGATGCTGGTTGAAACTCACCGAACGGATCGTATGATCCACTCAAGTTCCAAAGCAAAGTTTAAAAAACAGTCTTCCAGGGGCCGAGGTCAGGAAGCTAAATCCTCGATTGATTTGTTTTCTTTGCTGTGGAATTTTCCCCGCCATGAAGTAAGACAGTAGTTAACGAGTAACTACCCCTGAGCTGAGGGTGCAGGTTCAGTGAGGCTGCCCGCCCCTCCCCCGACCTCAGGGAAGCCACCAGGGGGGCCTGAACTCCTGCCACGTGTCCTTGAGGGGCCTCTGACTCTGCCCCCGCTGTGTCCTCAGGCTCTGAAAGGCTGTCGCAGGCCCCAGGTGAAGAACAAGTTCCAGAGCACTTAGAGTTTTCGTTCAGCTTGGTTAGCACTCAGGTGGTCAGGGCCCTGTCCGCCAGCGGGCTGCCTCTTCCCCAGCACCTGACCCAAGCCATTGTCACTGACAAGGACCCTCTTCCCACCCGTGCGCATAGTCTGCAAGCCCAGCCCCACCTCGGAGGGTGAGTGTCTGTGGGAGGCAACACAGACGCGGAATGGGGCTCAATGGCATAGTAAAGCGAACGACGCAGTTCCCTCCCGCGGGCATAAGCGAGTCCTCCGAGCAGAAACAGGAAGTCAAGAAAGAGAGGCAGTCAGCTCAAATCCAGCCGGGAAGTGTGCCCAGAAGCCCAGGAAGCCCAGAAAAGGGGGAGAATGAGCTCCAAACTCCAGGCCAACACATCCATCTCAGTCTCGTGAGTCCCCCAGAGTGATTCATCAGTGGGAATCCTCTTCCCTGGGCGGTTTGTCCCTACATGACTCCAGGACAGGAGACAGGACAAGGTGGCTGGGGAGGAGAGCAGAGCACGGACTATGGAGTCAGGCAGACTGGGCAAACTCCAGCTTTTCCTTTTAGCTGTGGCCTTGGTCTGGGCCTCAGTTTCTATACCTGTGAAATGGAGGTGATACCACCTACTTTACAGGATTGTTGCAAAGATGAGGAATAGAAGGAAATTTCC